AATATTTTAAAATATAATATTATATTATAAAATATACTAAAAGATAATAATATTTTATGTGCACTCATGTTTTGAAACTTTAGAATAAATTCAATTGTCAGAGAAATATTTGTAAGATAAAAATTGTTTGCATCCTTGTTTACATCCTTGTTGGCAATGTTTATAATTATGCAACGATTCTCAGAGACTCGAGACGCGATGATTCAGTATATCTTCTGTAGCGAGTTTTTGCAGAATTATAAAACAGACGCGTGTGCCGAGTGTAACGAGTCGTTTGCCTCGTCTTTCGTGAAGCGTGCATCCGTTTCCGTCGACGATCCACAGCGAGGGTGAGGTACGGAGGACACTCCGGTCACTGAGCACGCATAATCCCACGATAATTATGTAACGGATCACCGTCTCGATGATGATCTTCGACCGGTTTGAGATTCGCGGTCAAAACGTTTAAAAATTAAGTATATTCTGTCACGAAACAAATTATGCGTGTGTTATCCAATCAACAGTTCAACAACCTAAACGCTATAATTCTTAGTGGATATTTCACTTTCCGAATACGAGTATATAGTTAACTCTAATTAATAACTATAAAAAACGTTATAGTAAAATAAACAAAATATATTCAACGTGTATTGCAAAAATTAGATAAAATTTAAATATAACACGTCATCAAAGATTATGTTAAACCGATCGTAAACACGTTCGAGTATTCTTGAGAAATCTTGACCTGTAGCCACAAGTCCGCAAGTTCACTTAGCAACGGCGTAAAAAGAAACTGTCTCATTTAAATAATAGAATCTTTCTGGAATCGCGTGTTACATTACGACACTGAAATTATTATACAAGCACTTTTATTCTGTTCTGTTTTCAGTTGAAGCAAAAACATAAATTTTTCGCTAAATACAAATTTTTATTTATACTTTTGTGTATTTATATAAATTCACCATCTTTTTTAATTCAAAAATAATCTTTTCAATTATTCTATAAGTATGCTACAGAAAATTATACACAAGATATTTAACGAGACTGCCGAAATGTGATTAATTGACACGTTTGACGTGCGATGATGCGTGAACGAAAGGCAATCGGCCGAAATTCGAAGGTGACGAAAAAAGAGAGGCAGACGCGCTGTTTTCTGGACTATGATCTCTCGTTCCGATCAAGTCTCAAGGGTCACGGCCATCCCCAGCATTTCGCATAAATCATTTTGCGGCGTGAACACACACGTGATTAATCCAGGTAGCTCTCACACGCGGCCGATTACGCGTACATCGGAAGATCGTATCGAGCGCGGCCAGTCGGTTGCATAACGACCGCACGATGTTTCATTAAATCGTATGCGGATCCAAGCGGAAGACACACAAGTGCACTTTCGGAGTTGCGATTACGGCCGGAGATTGCACGAGGGAGAACAATAACTCAAACTACCGAACGAGACCATTTTGCGGGACCATTTCGACTATTCGAATCTGAATGAAATATTAACCTCAATCTTTTCAACCATCGATTTTCGATGCGAGCTCTACGATCGGTCGACGAATCAATGAAGATCTTTTTACGCTGGAAAATATTACCGAAGAATTGATTCGCTATGATGGAATGAGGATTACGACGATTACGTGCCTTAAGAATCTTTCGGATCAAACTCGCGCGTACGATTACGTGTTGAAGATGCTATCGTGCGGCCGGTCGTTACATAAGATTTCCAGAGACGCACAATGGAGCTTCTCGATGTTCCATTAAATCGTATGCAGATCTCGGGGCAACAATGGAACGCGGACGGTCGAATCGGCACTCGTAAAAAGTAGCCGGCCGTATCCCGAAACGCTTCCTGGATCGCTTCGATGCGATATCGAGGAAGAAGAAATTAGCATGATTTTTACGCGAAGATCGCGTAACGAATCGCTAAAACGCGCAAAAACGAAACTGTCAGAAAAACGCAGAAAAACAAGCAATTATTAAAAGCAGGCATTTAATATTAAATATTTTCTCATAAAAATCTGTATCATTATTTAATCGAATTTTATTAACAAATGGAACAAAATGTATTAAACAATCAAAAAATATCTCTTTTATTCAAAATTAAAATTATCATTTATATACGAAAATTTATATAAAAACATTATTTCAAAAATAAGCGCAAAAATGGTATTAATTTTTGGGATAAATGTAAAAATTAGTTTTAGCAATAAACTCACTGCGCTAATTACTTCTCGATTGCATTGAAACAAGCAGTGAGTTAAAGAACTTTTGCAAACGGTTAACTTTATATTCCTTCGTCATTTTCACTGCCTTCAGAGCTTTACACCTACTTTCAACAGAATAGTATGCTTGTTATACCTGTAAAATAAGATGGGCAATATATATTATAATGTACACACGCGCGCGCACACTTGCCTCATGTGTGTTCACATCAACTCGATACCGCCTCGCAGAGCCTAACGAATCGCGCGTGCGTGTAAGTAGCCGCGAATAATCCGCGCCGTGCCCGCGTGAAAAATCCGCGCGGTAACGTATGAGCGCCCGAGGGCACGGGTGATTGAATATAAATCATATAAATTGCGACTATCCAGAATTAATGTACACGGTCGTGATTTAAGGTGTTGCGCCTCTCCCGCGGCCGGTAATTGACGCGTTATTTCCGCATCCACCGTCCGGGACGTCGGGGCGAAAATTCATCTTCGCCGCCCGCGATTTATCCCAGGAGGATCTCGCGGTGGGCTCCTCCGTGTATCGATACCCACTGTTTTCTCGCGCGAAAGCGGGCCGCGCAATCACGATCAAGATCATCGACTCGCTCCCGCGAATGTAAGGCGATCCTTACACTGACGCTCCGCTACGATCCGCCGTCCGGATATCACGCGGACACGGAGAAAGGCCCACGGTGCATTATCATAGTCGTGCATCAGCGGGACATCACGATTCGTCGTATCGGCCTTTCTCATCGGGGGGACAGAGATTCTTTTCCGCGGTATTTACGCGGAGACGTATAATAAACGGTTTTGCGATAGGAACTTGATGCGCGAGACGCGGTATGCAATTTAGATTTTTCATTCGATTGTAGATAAATTACTTGAGATAGTAACGCGGTTGTTATTGGTGTAGCGGCGTGATAGCGTATAATAGTTAATAAGTAATAATACGTATAAAATGATGTAGCTGTAGCGCATTGTAAGATTTTGGCAATAATTAATATGTAAACTATTTGATAAGTCAATAATGTATATGAGATGAGTTTAAAAGCAGAGTGCACTCAAGTGCAATTAGTTTTCGCGTGTGAGCACGCAAGAAGATAATAATGCTTGAAATGCGAATGACATAAGATAGCATTCATTCGCGGATTAACGTTGCGACACGTTTCGTGCGCGAAATCGCATAAGTAGCGATCGCACGCTTGCGATACGTCAAGCTGTAAATCATTTTTGTACGTTGCAGCTACTGAAATTTATTTTAAAAAAATACGTCTAGTAATATTTATCTCTGCTTAATTTCCTGTAAATTAAAATTTTTTGAACAACTTGGAGGATGCAATTAATTATTCTATATTCTGGCGAATCAAAGTCACACGAATATGCATCGGTTTTTCAATAAATTTCCAATGAAAAGTAATGCACTTTACATGTCGCCGTTTTGTGCACACAGCGATCATTAACAATTACACAACGAGTGCGGCCGGCGGTATCGATATATAGTGCGGCATCGGTCTCGAGGGAAAGGAAGAATTATTTTCTCTACCCGGTACACACACGCGCAAACGGTTATGTACACACTCGGCGGGTTATGCTGAAACGCACGTTCAAGGTTATCCCACCAAGATCACGGTCGCGTCGTCCCGTGCCGAACAATCGCCATCAGTCATCGAACGATTCTCCGGCCGCATGCGTACATACGTACATTATTTGTAATTCGTGAAATCTTTTTGTTCAAAATTTTTTAATAAACAATAAGCGATGCCTAAAATCTTTAGAACATTAATCAGGACTATGGTCTTAATAACATATATTGAAAACCAAAACGATCGAGGCTGACTGTATAATTCTAAACATTTACAATTTGTTCATTTTTTTCGCTTCTACTTGTAATTTTTTAAATATTATTCAAAACTGATATACATATATTAATATATCTAGCTACAATTCTTAAAAGTTTTACATAATTTATTGTTCAACTTAAACTTTCAAAATAAATTGTTAACTTAAGGAGATTGTGTAATTAAAAATTTACAATAAACATGTTTTACACAAATTCTTTAAAATAATTTATTTAAAAATGATTAAATTAAAAAAAATATTGAGATATAAACAAAATGTGTGTGTAAGAAAATATTTCAGTCTATCCACGAAAACGAAACATTTAAATCAATGTAAGACAACAAATTCACTTGTCGCTCACATACGATCATATATCGATAATTGTTATAATCTCTTTCTTAGTTTGTATAAAAAATAATACCCGAGCATATAAAATTATTTAGTTTTTGTATTTTATCATTTTTAATGCTTAATAAATTTCTAATAACAGATATTTGCATTCTTTGAAGAGTAATAAAAAGAATTATGTTTGTGACAAACACAATTATCATTTAAAATAAGTATACATGGACGGCCATCTAACAACGATTAAATAACCTATTTTCATTATAGAATTTGATTTTATAATACATAAAATTGTACTTGTATTATATTGTAAAAATTCACACATTCTACTCTCTCTCTCAATCAATAAAGAAATTAAATAAATCGAATATTTTATTTCATAAATAATTAAATTTATTATATACATAAAATATTAATTTTATTTGAAAATATTATATATTCAATATCACAATTGCGTGGCAATTTAATTTTTGTACTTTATGTAGATATGTTCATTACATTTTTTAGTTTCTATTCTCATCCATCGATAAGTAACATCAAGCTGAGTGTGAGCTTCTTAAATGCTGTTTACATAGCATAAAGTGTGTATGTCACCAATATCTTCCTCAGTATTCCATGACTGTTTGATATGGAAACATCGTGAATAGGTGTATATGTCTCTTAACGTTCACAACTGGAAGTGGTATTAGACGTATTATTCTTACAAAATTGCGAATTGCGACAAACTTTTCTATTTTAATTAATATATGAAGGTGAGTAACCAACAAAGAAATATTTTTTGTTCTATATTTCTTCTATATTTCACTTTAAAAATATAGAAGAATACATATAAATCACGAGTATAGTTCCAGTTTCTCCAAAGCACATATTTCAGAATCACCGACATTATTGATGTTTCTCCTAACATTTGTTCTTTTTTCTTTACATAGCATGACGAGGTACACAACGATTAATTGCATTCGTCGAAGAAATTATTTTAACATTTATCATAAATTTATTAGGAATGTATTAGTTCGATATTTCTAAAATCAACAGTTATATTTTTCAATTTCAAACAATTTGGATAATATTTTGCATACTTTAAGTATATTCCTGAGAAAAACAAACAAACTACAAAATAATTTAAAAACTATCAATTTCTGTTGTTAAAAAAATATATACATGCTACATATATGATAATTACGTCCAGCTTAAAGAAACAATTTTTAAATAATTGAATCTATCTTATTCGTCTAAGAAAATATATGCGTTTACAGCCTTGTTGTCTGTAAAACATATTTTACTTTTTTTTAAATTAAAATTACTGTTATTATATTTATATTCAAAAATTATGTATATTTTATATATTCTGCGTTCTATTTCTATGTTTAAAAACAAGTTTTCAGTGTATATTATGTTCCTTACATAATTTTTTGATAAATCTTTTTATGGCATGAATAAATGCAATTTTTTTCAATATTTATCTTTTCTTGTTTTATAAAAATTAAGGACTGAATGTTGCATATGTTTTTCTTTTCTTCTAACTACAATGTTTTCTTACAGATTAGAATTCAAAATTACATTAATATGGCACTCCAAAAAATTTTATTAAATGGTGGATTAGTGTTAATCGCTATGAGAATTATTACTCTTTCCAATGCTAACAATACAGAATATGGACAAATTGCTAATAATACACAACATACACAATATAAACTAGTTGATAACAATACGTTGGAACATGTATGGATTGCTACAATACCGAATAGAAACAATACAAAACCTAAAAAGATATTGCTACGAATTGCTCAAAATACAAACCATAAAATAATTCCTAATAATACAGCATATAACCAAATTGCTAACAATACGAAACATGAACGAATTGCTAACAATACAGAATATCAAGGGTTTGTTAACGATATGCAATATGAACAAATTGCTAACAATACTAAATATAAACAAGTTGCTAACAATACGGAATATGATACCAAATATACCGAGATAAATTCTAATTTGTCGACTAAAGATAATGAATATAACAAAACTTTAAAACTATATCAACAAATGACTAACAATACGAAATATGAACTGATTGCTAACAATACAGAATATCAACGGATTGCTAACAATACAAAATATGAACGGATTGCTAACAATACAGAATATGAACGGATTGCTAACAATACGCAATATGAACAAATTGCTAACAATACTAAATATAAACAAGTTGCTAACAATACGGAATATGATACGGAATATACCGAGATTAATTCTAATTTGCCGACTATAGTACCGTCCCATTATAATGTCAAAATACTACTTTACTTTAAGGACAATCTTTTATTCGGTGATTGCAGTATTAATATAAACATTAACCGTCAATTGGAATCTATAAAGCTAAAATCCGTAGCCATTCGTATAATTGAAGCAATCTTGATTCCTAATAAAAATACAAGTGTGTATCAATTTTCTTCATTCACCAACTATAACGACATTCTTACTATTAAGTTTGATAAAGAGATATCTCCTGATACATACACTTTAAACATGACATATATGCGTGTGATACATAAACGCAAAAGTCCAATCCAATCTGTATATCAAGACAAACTAGGAGATCAAAAGTAAGTTAAAAATATTTGAAATATCGTTGTACTGTAAATACTATACGTTATTATTCTTTGCCAAGTATTTTTATTGCATTCATCATTAATTAGACTTGCTATTCTAAAAGGAATTTAAGAAATTATTTTTGAAGCATCATGCAATAGTACACCAAAAATTGGTCAATTTCCACACGGAGAAGTATACTCCGAATTATCACACGCGAGACAGCGAATTATAAAATATCTTTATGATTATTGAATCTTAATATTTTCAATCAAATTATGATTAATACTATATCCTTTATCTAAACTATAGCATTAAAATATTATAGGTTGAACCAAATAGGTGTTGAGGTAATGAAGGTCCGACAACTATTTCCGTGCAACAAGTTAAGCAATTCCACAATTAAGATTGCCATCAAACATGACGAAAAATATACAGTTTTATCAAATATGCCTATTCGAGTACGAAATAAAGCTGCTAATGGCATGATGTGGACTGACTTTGACGAATCTTCACCAATGCCTGTGCAACAGATAACGTTTGTGATAACCACATTTACTAATGTTTCTAGTCAGTTTGCAAATGTTACCATATGGTGCAGACCAAGTGTTTGGATACATGTTCTTTATGCAAAAGATGTTCTCGAAGAGGTTGTGCCTTATTTTAAAGAAAAATACATGCTAAAATTATCAAAATTGGATATTGTTGCAGTCTGGCATCGTCACGACTATAACATTACGACATTGGGACTCATTTTGCTAAGGTAATATTAATCATCAATGGACATAAAATAGTAGGGTTCTCTCAATAATGTTTTAAAATTAAGAGTTAAACACACTTTTATGTCAAGATATTAATTAAGAAACAACTAAAATCCATAAAATGACAGTTGCATTATGCACTGAAATCTTTTTAGACTTATGTCTTTATTTTTAAACTTGTATTTATATTTTTAACTTATTCTTTATTTTTAAATTAATGTCTTTATTTTAAATAAAAAATTAAATTATTTTTTACGTCAAATTAGATACATAAATACTTCATATTATATAATACATAAAATCAGATTTTAATTCAGATTTTTACTCCTAAACTGTTTTTTACACTGTACATATAAAACAATTGCTAGAAAATCTCTTTTATTGAATTAATTTTGTTATTGATATTGAAAGAACTCACCAAATGTTTCTTTTGAATATTAAGCTCATTTTCATCCATGACGTTATTTATGTAAAGTGTGCCGAATTCTTCTTTGTCGTTTGTCATTTTTTTCTTTATATATACATCTGTATGCTATCATGTAGGTGAACATTTGTTACCTCTTGATTTTATACACAAATTGTATTGCATTGTTCATCAACAATAAGTAGAAATAAGGACACAAAGTTATACATTAGTCTTTTCTGCAATTATTATACATTAGTCTTTTCTGCAATTATTAAAAACATTCAACGTAAGTCTGTTACTTGAAAATAATTTTTAGGGAAGCAGATATTATTTATAATGAAGACTTGCATTCCGTTATACGCCGAAGGGAAGTTGCGCACATAATAGCGCGTCACTTGGCATTTCTTTGGTGTAATAATGTGATAGTTTGGTTTAAAAATGGTTTTGCTACATTTGTCGGAACGTATATCTTGGATCAGGTTGTGTTATACCTTTGCAATTGTTATATTACAATTTTATACATTATAATAAACAAGCAAAAAAGTTTAATAGCAACGATCGACAATATCAAATGCTTGTTGCTGAAGCAAATACTTTTCAATTAAATATTAACTTGATCATACCAAACTTTCTAGATATACCAAAATGATCACATAATGGATTTAATGGTCGTGCAAGCATATCAAGATTCTTTTCGTTACGACATTCCTTCTAATAAAGAATTGAATAGCAGTAACGCCGTTGAAATCATTTCATGGTCTCGACTACATTATCTAAGATGTAAGTTTCAGTAAATATGATTAAAACCTATATGTCATTATCATTTTATTTTGTAAAGTAGATATAATAAAAAAATAATGTGATAATTGTACGTAAACTCACAAATATTACATAAAAATTTAACAAAAGTTTTATTTATGTTATATTATAAAAATTTAAATAAATATGAATAGTGTTGTATATAATTCAAAGTATTAACAAGAAAGTGTATTGACAATTTCTCACAAATTCAGAAATATTACGAAAAAAAATTTAAGGAAATTTAATTATGAACAAACACGACTATTATTTACTTATATAAAATTGATGATAAAATGATGAAGAATTTTCATTATTAAACAAAACATAATTTTAATTGTCACAGCATTTATACTATGGCGCATGTTTTACCATATCATGCCCGATGTATTCTGGCGTGGTATCCGTACATATATAAACAGGAAGTGAGTAAGAATACCATATTGTAATATAACAATTATTTAGGAAAATTGGGCATTGCATAAAATAACGTATTTGCATTATTGTAGAGAGCAGTGATATAAACTTTGATATTTTTTGAAAATTAATATTTAGAATTACAAAATTAAATTTAAAAAAATCTTATTTCTTTTTTAATTACAAATACTCTATTTACATTAATAGATATCGAGATCAAAAATTAGTATTAAAAAAAATCTTATAAAAATATAGTTTTGAAAATCAGCAGTTGCTTTGAAAAGCCTTGAGAATAACATGTTGCGACTAATAATAATTTCTATCGAGATTGACAATTTAATTGAAAAGGAAATATAATCCGACTTGAATATAACACTAGGCAAAAAGAGTTTATCCTGCAGTCTGTGAAAAAAAATACCTTATATGTATATACCATATTATGTATACTTCATAATATTAATATAGATTAATATTTACATAAATTAAATAGTAATTTTTTATTTACTAAACAAAATAATTTCAATGTTTATTTTTATATAATTTTCAATTTTTTAGCTCTACTTATGACATGACACCAGATTTATGGGCCATTATGCAATCTCTCTATACAGAAAGCAACCCGAAAAAAACCCATAATCTTTTTTTTAAATTGAAATATTTAATATATACATGGAGTTCGAAGAAATATTATTTTGTTTTAAATGTGATGAAACTTCATACTGATTTGCAATATTTCGATACATTAATAGGCTACACTCGATCCCCCTATATAATAGAAAATGATAAGACACTAACTTGGATACCTGTAACATATACGTTGGAATCGTCTCCTAATTTTAACACGTCTGGTGTTTCGTCTTGGATATCCACAGAAGATATCACGAGATATTCAGGTGCATACGCAGGTGCATTAATTCACCACAACACTAGTATAAAGAAATGGATTATAGTCAATATACAACAAGCTGGTAAATATAGAAAAATTAATATAAATATGCGTTATCTTTCTTAAGTAATTAACGTTTTAGAAATTATAAATTTATTTGATAATTGTTTATAATTACATAGTGGAGCTCGATTGTCTGAATTTGTATCTATTTTATGAAGTGCGTAGTCCTTAGTTACAAGAACAAGATTATAATCGTCTTGTTTATTAAAAAGTTATAAACAAAAGAAATTTCACAAATTATACGTAATTTTCGAACACCACGTACTTTTAACGTACTTTTAGCAAGTTTCTTATTTCAACGTACACTTTTTAAAATTGTTCTTTAAAATTTTTTAATGAACAATGAGCGACGTCTAAAATTTTTACGACATTAGTCAATACTATGGTCTTAACAACATAATTAAAAACCAAAACTATCAAGCCTGAATGTGTAATTATAAACATTTACAACTTGTTTTTTTTTTGCTTCTATTTAGAATCTTTAAATATTATTCAAAACTAAAAATGTAAATATATAAATATATCTAGCTATAATTATTTAAAAGTTTTACAAAATTGCTTGTCCAACTTAAACTTTCTAAGTTAATTGTTTGTTTAAGAAGAATAAACAATTAACAATTTGCAATAAACATGTTCTACAAAAATTCTTTAAAATAATTTATTCAAGAATAATTAATTTAAAAAAATATTTAAATACAATTAAAACTTTGTTGTGTGGAAGCATATCTTAATAAATTCTCAATTAAGAAACTCTAATAATCAAAACATTTATTCCTCTGTACAATAGGATACTATCGCGTCAATTATGATGTTGGAAACTGGCAACAGCTTATGCGATACTTAAACTCCGATGATTATAACAAAATACATATTCTTAATCGTGCTCAAATCATCGATGACGCATTTTACTTCTTTGTACAAAAACAACTCACATACAACTTGTTTTGGAATCTTACGAACTTCGTAATACGAGATACTAATTTTGTTACATGGTATCCTATGATTAAAGTTTTCGAATCTTTTACTTGTATGTTTCCACTTGAATATGGTAATTTGATAATGGTAGGTAATGATAGATTTCCATAAAAAAAAGTTACATTTTACATACTAAATGAAATAAAATATATTAAATAAACGAAAATAAACAGTGTTAAATTGAAGTTTAACAATTTTTAGGAAACAATGAAAAACAGAATAGATGGACTTCTTACAAAAATAGGATACTTTGACGAATGGACAGACCATACTCTCACTATATATTTAAGACAAGAAGCTGTAAAATGGGCATGTATTCTTGATATTTCTGAGTGCCGAAGAAATGCTGCTTCGAAATTATTAGAAGAGTTTAAATATTCTGAAGACAACTCGTAAGCTACTTTATAAGTATAATATTTATTTCATCAGAATGTTGTTGCATTTTTGTATCATACTGAATAAATTATTTTATAATTAAAATTTCAAAATGTAAGCAAATTTGTAGCAATAAGATATTTTTTGTAATGCAGAAATTCGATGGAGATGAAACGAACATACTGTCATAATTTAATACCAATGAACCACGCTATTTGGAACGAGATATGGAAGAAATGGAATGCAACGTTTGATGAAAGATTTTTAGAATACCTATCTTGCTCTGAAGATCTTGCTATCATTCGCCATTATTTAACGGAATTAATACAGCGCGGAGCTCAGCCCGAATATGTTAATGCATTTTTTTTTAGTGTTGCAAAACATGCAAAACAAGTTGAACTGTATAATTTTGTTTTCAGTATTGTTGAAAAAGTTACTTTCGATTCAAATAGGTAATAACATTTTTCTTTAAATATACGTCTCTGTATATATTTCTTAATCATTTATTATATTATAATAATTATTTATTAATATTTGTTACAACTATTAAATTTATCAGTTTTTTAGTTTTTACTTTGTTTTTTTAGAAAAAATGACTTAATTGCAACATTCATTGTAATTATTACACATGTGCACGAGCAAAAGCACATGAACGAGGTATGCTTTCTGCACTTTACACTAACATACCCATTTCCTGGTATCTAAATATAAAGCTTTATGTCTACATATATTTATTACATATATGACATATTTGATGTGAATTATATATACAATACTATGCACTGTACTCTATCAAATTGCAATGTAGAGATCTGTATGTGATATTATTGAATTGATATTATTAATATTATTAAAAAAAATTTGTTTTAGATAACCAAATATTCATCGAAAAAGCGATATCAAATAGCAAGAGATGTTGAAAAAAAAATAAAGAAACGAAAATTGGAATACGTAAGACTTGTCAACAACTACGGGTATTACTTAAGTATCAGTAAATATAATAAATAGCGAAACATTTAAGTCAGTGGAAGACTTACTTCACTGTTTCTCAGCCATAATCATGTATCGGTAATTGTTGTTATTCTCTTTCTTCGATTTTATTAAATAATATCTAAGTATTTATAATTATTTAATTTTTGTTTTTAATTATTTTTAATACCCTTATATTATTGCTATTTCTAATGCTATAAATTTTGAATAACGCAGATATTTGCATTCTTTGATGAGTAATGAAAAAGGATTACGTTAGTGACAAAAACAATTATCATTTAAAATACGTATACAAAGGACATGGACGGACATCTGACAACGATAAAATAGTCCATTTTCATT